GTTCAATCTCATTTTTATATTCCTTACAATCTCATTTTCTAAATAAATGTAATATACAGAAGGAATAGTACATGGAGATATACTGGATCATTATTAATTTGTGATAGAATTACAAATACTTTCATTTTTCTTTATGTTTTTTATTGTCTAAAATGTCTACATTAAAAGTCTGTTACTTTAACTAAAACATACATGCAAAAATATAAAAACTTCTTTAGTTTCAAGGGTTGTGAAAATATCATTTAATCTTATTGATACATTCATCTATCAACTTGTATTTTAAATAGACTTATAATAATCTCATTTATTATTAGATTTCAGCATCTTAATTCCATGTTTTTTACAGAGCTGAGAAAGACTTGGGTCATTTGAAGTGCATGTTTCTGTGTAATTTTCTCTTTGTAACATCCTGGAAAATTTATCAACTAGGATGGAAAACTGCTAATGCGCCACCCATTGCCCTCCCCATTTCATTCCCCACTAGTTAGGTAACGTGAAGAGTTTTAATTGGTAAAAAGCTTTGACAAAGAAAGCATGGGTATATTTCATCCAAATTAAAAGCATGCTCAACTGGTGTCAAAGGGAGACAGAGAAACTTAGATACCAATTTAGCACATAACAAAATCTGCTATAAAAATGCCATTCTCTGTTTATACTGCAGTAAAGTATTTGTTAGTTTTACCTTTAGAATATGCTATTGCGGATAAACCTGTCGTTTATTACAGAACAGTCAATTCATTCCATTGTGCTGGCATAGTTCTTTGTTAAATAAAACCAATTAAAGATGATATACATGTCAGCTTGCAAGCCCACCAAATTTTCACTTAACTCTCCACATTCTCCTTTCTTTGAACTTCCAACACATTATTCTTGGCATTTCTCTCTCTCTGTCTCTGTCTCTGTCTCTGTCTCTCTCTCTCTCTCTTTTATCAAAACCTTATTTTGGATAGGAAATAATTCACTTTTACAAAGGAAAGCACAACACAAAGACTTAGAAAATAAACATAAAAGGAAGAAATAGATGTGTATTAGTTGGAAATCATTTATTGCCTCTATAAAAGTTTAAATAAAAACCCTACAAAAATTCACATTACAATCTGATGTGGTTTTAAGGTGATAGAATGCTTCAGAGGTAGTACCAGTAAAATGGGATGCAGGATTGCTAAAAGGAATAACTGAGTAAGTTAATGCAAAATAAAATTGTAATGCAAAGCAATATCTACTCAGTACACACCTTCATGAAACAATAATATTTGCAAGATAATTTCACTTTATTCTCCTTTGCCCCTTAGCAAATCTGTTCTAAATAAATTGTTTTAAGCAATGGTATGGCCACTGCAGGTTCACAAGTTAGTAGGCTCCTCCATTACAGTATTTACAGAGCATAGCTTGGTTGAAGGGATGATACTGAGCTGTCTGCCAAGGATAAAGTCAACTTCAAAGAGAAATCTATCCATCATTAAGATATAGTGTGCTGATATTTTTCTCAAAATGGTTCCAACAATTATCTATTTTTAAGATAGAAATGAAAACCTAATAGATTTCAAAATCAGAAAATTTCCTGGTATACTATCCCTGCAATATAAAGTGAAATTTAGGATTTCACTTAAAATAATCATAAATAATGAGGCTTAGATGAGGAAAGAATGCCTGGGAAACTGGTCTAATGGCCTCTGCACAAAAAGGTCAGATTCCTTACTCACTTATATGTTCTCTTACAAACTTATGAGGGTTTTTAATATTGAAGGACCTGGCAGATGAATATGTCTTGGGAGAACTGGTTTTCTGGGCATCCTTTGAGATTTTCATAGTGTACAGAGCACAGGAAGTGACTGGGCCACAGGCCTTTCTTCTCCAACAATAACTAACATTTCTATCACATGATTGTAGTGGTAGTACAAAAGCCCTGCTGTGGATAACTGACCTTACAACAAAATATCCCCAGGTTTCTTGAAAAGGCGATTTTCCTTTTAATATTTTACTTGTACCTGTTAATTTTCCTATTTCCTAGGGTAACTGCAATTCTCATTTTCTTGGACTAGTTTTAGCTTCACTAAAATGAGAAAAGTACTAACATTTGAGGGTTTTGTTTGTTTTTCTTCCTTGTACACATTTTGGAAGTTAAGCACTCTCACACATTTCCTGTTTAGAAATCACTTGGTTATACTAATCTTAAAGTAGATATCCAAGTGTAGTTAATAGAATTTTTTTCACATTGGCTTCTGTTTCTCTGAGAGATGTTTTAACTAGTATGACCTACTTTAACATTATCAAAGTCCCAAAGAAAGAAACTTTAGTTGATTTTAACCTTCACCCATGAAAATGTTCAGAAGAGCAGTCAAAAGCTGGTATTTTCCTTGTTTTAAAATATCCCAAAACAAATCTAATTTATATATGTGAAGAAAACATGCTTGGGACTGAACCTAGGATCTGGGCACAGATTCAACGAATACTCTTCTACCACTTATTACATTCTCAGACTTGTTTTTAGTTAAATGCTTGACCTAGACATCTATTACACAATCTGTGGTACATGATTGCAATCTGCCTATTATGATATTTTTTGTTCTGGATACAACTTTTACCCTTGATTCCTGATACTGAAAATTCACCCTTTATTTTATGAGTGTTTTAATTCCAAAAAAATCGAATTGTGGTGCTGTAATATAAATGTCAAAATAAAAGGAGTCCTAATGTGCTGTTATAATATACATAAATTCTATCACAGTGGAATTTTTTTTGTCAGTCATGGGGCTTAAACTCTGGGCCTGGATGCTGTCCCTGAGCTGTTTAGCTCAAAGCGAACGCTTTTCCATTTGAGCCACAGCTCCACTTCTCGTTTTTCTGATGTTTTATTGGAGATAAGAATCTCAAGGACTTTCCTGCCCATGCTGGCTTTGAACAGTGATCCTCAGATCTCAGCCTCCTGAGTAGCGAGGATTACAAGCATGGGACACTGGCGCCCTGCTTCACAAGGGAACTTTAAGCAGGGACAAGAGAATAATCTGCAATGTGTCACCAAAAACAGAGCAGGATTCTTTCTATAACTCACACAAAGGAGAATCTTTACATTAGTTATAATTTCTAGTTTAAAAACTTTTACTGATATATCTGAAAAATATAGTAAGAAATAATTGCCTTCTCCCGTATTTTTTTAATAAAGCTCTGATTAGACAGCCTAGTCTAGATTTAAGATGACAATCTTCCTGTTTTAGCTTCCCTAATGCTGGATTATAGGCATATACTCCATATCCAGTGAAAATAATTATTTTCCAAACCTACAGCTCTCTGAGAAATCCAGTGTCTGCCACAATGTCTTCCTTTAGCAGGAGTTTAAGAAATAGTTTTAAATTAGTAGCTAATTTCTAAGATGTAAAAAAGAAAACCATTAGTGTTAAAAGATGGACTTTCCTCTCTATTCTGTAATGAGAACCAACTAGGGAGATGGTTTAAGTAAAGCAGAAGAACTCTGAGCTAAAAGATAAATTCATTGATTCATGGACTAGGAAGGAAACACTAGGATAGAAAGTTAAATGCTTCAATTTTTGTCATAGTATTTAAGAAATGGTGTTTTATTTAGTATTTCTTGTATATGGTGAGGAATCTATTTTATGAAGGGACTGACAGGACTGACAAATTGAATCCTAATATCTCAGGTTCTGTTACTGAGTGCTCTTTTCTTTTTCTGGAATTTGACTTGTCAGTAAGGTATACTAAACATTGTTTGCAAAGAGCTATATGGTCTTAGTTAAAAGAGAACATACCTGACTAGTAAACTATCTCTGCCAACAAAGGAACCATGGCAGTGTTATGACAGCAATATCAAATCAAGCAAATACTTCACAAACTGAAGGATCACCAATGAATTTATTGATGCAGGGAGAAGCGGACACTTCAAGGTTAAAGAGACTCATGGTTACCTTTCTGCACTCATAAAATTAGTATCAGTGATTCCAAATTAGAATTGGCACTAATGTAAAAAATTGTAAATATCTGAAACTCAATAACCAAAAACATCCATCGAACTACTTCATTAATTTTTTTGGGTATAGATAAGTTAATCATGCAACAAATTCCACACTGCCAGGTTACCAATATATGATACTTTGAGCTTAGGGAGAAACTACCATAGCTTTTATGGGCTTCAGTAATACCATCTGGTTCCTTGGAAGGGAAGGTCTGCGAAGAACAGTCTCAGTATGTTGCCCCTGGGTTCCCACTAACAGAGTAACTAGGAATCATGCCCATTTTAGGTATATATACAGAGAATAGTATCCAGGAAATTCAGAAGACTGTGATTTACAATCAAAGAAATAGAAATTAAAAAAATATTATCCTTGGCTGATTGCTCTGTACAGGCCTTATGTAGAAATGAGGTAAATTCTGTGGCAAAGCTGAATGACTAGATTAAAAAAAATCTCAGTGGCTTACCTGGACTTCATGTTTCATAAAATGTAACAACTGAAAGAATATTATGAAGATGGTGATAAACTTGAAATATTTGTGCAACATTTTGTCTTATACAACTTTACTATTACAGTGTGAATCATCAATATTTGTCATTTGTAGCATCAAAGAATTCCCATTCAGGCTAATGATTTATTTGACTTTATGTTGGTGAATTGACTTTCCCTAATGTTTCCCCCTTCCCTTGGATTAGTTAATAGAAGAATACCAAAATTTATAATTGGATACTAATAAATCACTTTAGTTTTCAATTATTAGTTTAAGTCAAATTCTGATAAGGGTGGAAAAATAAATCCCAGGACTCATCCAGGTTAAATATTTTGAAAAGTTATGCCTTTAATTTTTAATTAATTTTTCCTGAGTAAAAGTATAGGGAAATAGGAAAAGGAAAGAGGAAGAAAGATGTAATGGCTACAAAAAGGCTAAATAAAGTGTTATTGACTTTGTAAGATATGTGGAAATATGGTTCTTTTTGCATTTCTGGTTAAAACTATGAACTAAAGTTCTTATAAAAAGCAAAGCAAAACTCATTCAGAAATTAGACATAATCCATATAAAGGATGACTTGCTCAAAATTATTTTCCAGAGTTCTATTAGTTTGCTCTCAAGCAATGCTTTTAAATTTTACATGCATTATTTTTTGCTTTGTAGCCATTATATCTTTTTCTTCCTTCACAGAATAGGTTTGTTTCAACAATTTGTTTTTCCAACTGAATACTATTAGGGCAACAGAATGTAGTTATTTTGAAATGCACACCTGTTAGGTAGCCAAAGGACTACATCGTATATCCCCCCTCAAATCACAAACAGTCCGAGGCATTCTTCACTGATAAAGAAGACACACTGAATGAGGTATCATCAGGCTCTGGTGAGGCTTGATTGAAATCCATCTCTTCTAATTCAGGAGGTAAATCTGAGAGCAGTGCCTGAGTCAGAAAGAACATTGTTTTGGATTAATATGTGAATTTTAGAAATTGTATATAATAACATAATCCTCACATTTTGTTATATTCTATGGATATAAAAATGTGTATTTCCCTCTAAGGATCATATGCCTTACCAAAAAGAAAAATTCTTCACACATTATTAAGGAAATAAGAAAATACTAAACACTGAGAATGTGGATAATGTAGAATAAAATCCTATAACAAGAGAAAATCAGGAGGAAAATGAGCAACTATTCTGAGTCAAGTGCTTTTAAGTGTTTGAGCTAAATGATTTTTATACTAGTTTTGAGTGTTCACTGATCACTGCTAAAGGGCTTTAAAAGTGTATCCTTTATTAAAATATCCATGTCTGGCTATGCTATCCTTTAGACAAAATCACATTACAAAGAACCATTTCGTTCTTCATTGGGTGAATAAACTTCTCAGAAAAGAAGTTCTGCTATTCTACTTTAAACTTTAACAACTTGAAAAGAGTAACTTTTACCCTTTTCCTTAGGCTATAGCCATATGTACAGATGGCAAACACCAAATAGGGCCAGTTCAGTTGGTGAATCTTGCTGTTGTAATGATGTATCTGGAGGGATGCTCATTCCTCTGCGGGAGTAATTAGGATAAGCCAAGAACTGTGAATTAAGCTTGGTCATGGTCTGTTTCATAGGGACTTGCAGAACATGCATCTATACTAGAGAAATAAATGACTAACCAGGTTTTATGTGGTTGACAGTGCTCATTCCCACTTGACCATAAGAAATTGGACATAAATGATTGATTTGCTGCTCCCAATACTGAAAATAATTTAGCATATCTGGCAATTTTTACACAACATTATTTGTAATATGGGCTTTGGGTACAGTGGCAAACAAGCACAAAGGGACATGATACAAATGAAATCTTGCCACTCTCCAATTAAGGAACAGAAAGATAGGGCCTGTTGGAGAACATATAAAATCTACAGTTGAGATAAGAAGTATTGTCCTATCTTCTTTTTTCTTTTTGTTTTTTTCTTCTTTTGTTTTTTATTGGTGTTGGGGCTTGAACTCGGGGCTTGGGTGCTGTCCCTCAGCTCTTCAGCTCAAGGCAAGTGCTCTACTGCTTGAGTCACAGCACTACTTCGGTTTTCTAGTGGTTTATTGGAGATAAGAGTTTCATGGCCTTTCCTTCCCTGGCTGGCTTTGAACAGTGATCCTCAGATCTCAGCTTCCTGAGTAGCTAAGATTACAGGCATGAGCCACCAACCAGCGTCAGGCTCCTATTTTCTTTTCTTTTTCTTTTTGGTACATTTTTAATTGTAAAAATGTTGTACAGAGGGGTTACTGTTACATGAGCAAGGTAATTAGTACACTTCTTATTTTCTTTATTAGAAGAAGTGACAGCTATACATCCTACACTTTTTGCCTTGTAGCACAGATTAAAACTTTCTACGTTTTGTCAGGCAGTGTAACAAAAGGCTGGCTTCTATGTGGGAAAAAAGAACGCTGCTATTTATTTTATATCATTCTTTTTTATGAACTTCTTGCTGAAAAGAGTATTAATAAAGTAACATAAAAGTTCAACATGTTTTCTGTGGTGTTGAGTTACAGTAATAGGACACAGAACCATTGTCTTCTAGAACAACAGTATATCAAGAACTCAATTTAGGTACAATGGAGCCTTTGCTGTGTTGGGTGATCAGATCAAACTATCAGTAATACATCACTGGATTAAGTTTGCTATGCAATTTTGAATATGTTCTATTAAAGAGGGAAAAGTGTTCAAATTATCACTCACTTAACATGTGCTTAAAAGCCAAGTGGATGAAGAGATTTAATTATATTCTAAATTCTGATGGAGAAACCTAAAAATCATTACTTCATCATTGAATTAAGTGTAGTTAACTAAAATGAGCATAATAAGATACATGAAAACTTGAATAGATTAGGCAATATATGGTACTGTGAATGTACAAAGTTCGCTTCCAAAATTTTTCTTTAGTGTGTCACCAAACAGATGTTTGCATGATGATAATAATCATTGGGACTGCCTTTTTTATAGAGACTAAAGCCAACACAATTAACTTTCCTTTTTTTGTTCTTGGTTTTCTATATTAGGAACCAAACTCAGGGTCTCATACTTGCTAGACAGTTGCTATACTACTGAGCTACATTCCCATATCCAATTTTGTTTAATATATGTTCTTCAGCAATCACAACTATCTGACCAAGTATCATCTTTGTCAAGAAATCAGTAGTAATTTTGGCATGCATACAATCTCCAAAACACTCTTTGTATATACTAAGGTGTGAATGTTTTAACTTCTAAATGATACTCATTTTCATTTTCCTTGAAAAGTGGAGAGACTGAAGTTTAAGAATGGCAATTAATTTGGCTAAGATCATATAGTGAAATATCAGGGGTAATGAATTTCATAACTAATGACAGAACAATGCTAGAAACATTGTTTTAATTTTAAAATGGCAAAAAATTAAAAAGCAGACAATAATCTTTTGACTCTGGTGTTGATACACACCAGTAATTCCAGTACTAAGGAGGCTGAAGCAAGATAATTGAGAGTTAAAAGCTAACTCTGTCTTTATGGCAAGTGGCTAAAAAAAGAGTTCCAGTTCTCCCTGTGTTACATAGTGAGATTCTATCTCAAAAAAGAAATCACCAATAACCAAACATAAAATCAAACGCGGTATCATGTAATGTTTCAGTCACAGAGAATCATGCTTTTCAAAATACTGGATTTCTTCACAAGACCAAAATATTCTATAGACCACTCATTTTATTCAGTTTATCTAAACCAATATTAACAAATCAAAGAAAGGTTGGACTAATGGGATTGCATTAAACTGCAGAGCTTCTGCATGGCAAAGGACATAGCTAGCAAGATCAATAGAAAGCCCATGGATTGGGAGAACATCTTCACTAGCCATACAACAGACAAGGGTCTCATATCTAAAATATACCTGGAACTCAAAAAATTAAATCCCCCAACAACAAATCCTCAAAGGAACAACTGCCTAATAAATAAGTGGGCTAAAGACTTAAAGAGAAATTTCTCTGTAAAGGAAATAAGAATGGCCAATAGACACATGAAGAAAAAATACTAAAGTTTTTAAAAATAGAATCCAGCTGGACACCAGTAGCTTATGCCTGTAATCCTGGCTCCTCAGAAAAGGCTTAGATTAGAGGATATGGGTCAAAGCCAGCCCAGGAAGTGGGTTCAAATGGTAGAGCAGTAACCTTGTACAAAAATTCTCAGGGACATTGCCCAAGCCCTGAGTTCAAGCCCCAGGATCAGCACAATAGAAGAAAGCGGTGACAGTGATTCATTTTTATTAGGCAGGACAAAAATCATTTCCAGAAATAACCCTCTAAACATTCCATAGTACAAAGATCAAGCACTTAAGAGATTACTAGATTACTTTCATAGACCATTACTGTTTGTTCCTAGATTTACATATACGCACGTTATAAATAAAAATGCATATATAAAGAATAACAGATACTTATATATATATATATATTATACATATATAAGTATATAAATACCTCTGTATTATATTTACATGTATAAAAATGTATGTATCTAATAAAATTATATGAATAGATGTATTTATATTTATACTTGAAATTATATAGTCCAGACCAGCCTCAAACTTGTGATCCTCCAATTCCAGTTGCTGGAATTTCAGGTTTTTGGGTCTTTTGCATTTTTAAATAAGGTCCACCTGCCAATCTCAAGAAGGAAAATCAATGGTCTCTATTTTGTTTGATGACAATATAGGCTATAACAGTTAGTACAATTTTTATATCACTTTTTCTTTTAGCCAAGTATTTTTCCATATCTTTGTTCACTAGATTTTTTTATCAGAGCAACAATAGAATAGCAGGAGAAAAGCAAAAATAACACAATTACTTTTCTCATTTGTTACTGATCTTTGAGAAAGAATCAAGTCAAAGAAAAACTTAGAATAAGAAAATAAGGTAGAGTTTATATGCTATTCCTAGTTGTCAAGAGATATAGATAACTGATATTAACTGGTCATATAGCTAAATTCAAGCCATGCTACGATGTTTGGGACTAGAAACACACTCCAAGTTATTTTGAGGTTGGACCTAATTTTGTGGGATATTTTAAACCGTTATTTAAAATTTATGAGACTCTCATGTTCAAGACTACCACTTCTTTCATTTAAAATTGGTATTTTGGGTGTCTATACGCAAGCACATTTTCAGCATGTTATTCCAGTAAGCCTAACTCACATAATGAAGCAATCTACTTAAAGAAAGCTGGCAACAGTAACTGAAGGCTACTGTCTTGGGATGTATATATGTGTTCAGGGCTGAGGGAGTAAAATTCATGTAACTTGACACATAATATACACACTAGCATGAATCTCATGAGAATATTCTTCCAGTTAAAAATTTTGTGGTTCAACATGCCAGTTAAATATATAAAGCCTTTTTTCTTTGAAAAAGGGGAGAATTATTGGTTGTTAAGACTTTAATCTTCTCCCTCGAGATACTCTAGATGGGCTATGTATGTACAGTCTTGCCTATGCATAAGGCATGGATTTTTGTACTCCTGATATTTCTTGCTGAATAAAACCTACAGGGAGTTCTTACTAAATAATAGTGTGTCTCATTCTGCCCATATAGAACTCCTATGATAAGGATTCAGCATCTAGTCATACTATTCAGCAGCAAATTTGTTGTTATTTAGTATTAAATGTAGCTTTGCATATAATTACAGAATTCCTTTTCAAGTCTAATTAAATAGTACATAGATTTCCATAACGATATGAAGTAAAAATTATGATTTGGAAGGTATTTGTATGCAACACTTCACAGCACCAAACAATGCATTTTATCATTTCTGTGGAGCAGTAACTTTACTCACATTTTTAAAAAAGTGATGCATTATGTTAACAAAGAATTTAACAAAGTAATTCCATATTTTTTTTACTGATGGGCAACATATCATTTGTGTACTCTATAGCTGCCAGATAAATAAGATCCAGAAGAGGTAAATAAATGCCTCAGTTCTTTTATTCACAAAATGTGGCTCTGTAGTTAGGATAGCCCCATTTCTACAAATAGAGAAATTTATTTGAAATTCATTTAAAAATTGGTTTCTTCCTGTTAAAGGCTAACCTTGGGTTAATAAAGTATATTAATAAGTTATTTTGATTTTCCACAATAATAGTGAATACCCACTCTCAAGAAAATTACTGTTTAAAAAGATCATAAATTAGCAACAACGTCCTCCATAGCAAGCAAGGATGAAGAATAAAAATGAAAAAAGTATGAAGACCCCAAGAGTGACATGCCATTTTTCGTCATGATACATTGTGGCTTACTAGTCTCTTCTGGGACCTACCTGCTGTTGTTCCTTATCATCAGCTTTCATAGCTAGTATCAAGTTTCTAACAAAAGTCCGAAGTTTAAAATATTTTTGCTTTTGAATCTCTAGTTCATTTTCAATGAATCTGACTTCTTCATTCTGAAGAAAAAAAATCAAACAATAAAATTACCTTGTGTAAACCTTTTGTCTATATATATATATATATATATATATATATATATATATACAAAACACAATGAAATTTTAAAAGAGGAATCAAATTAGAAAGACAATAAATAAAATAAAGGTTTAGTATAAAGAGATGAAAAATACAGAAAGAAATTATCCTGTTACTCAAAGGCTGACTTTTAGGTAAATTGACAACAAAAAAATTTTGTGAGGTTAAAATTCCAATCAACTAAATCCCAGTAAAGTGGTGGGGGGACAAGAAAACATTCTCTTCTTGGAAAGAATCCTCTTATATCAAACCCAATTAGCACTTGGATCAGGATTACAAATAGAATCTAATTAACCCCAAGAGCAATGGCAGACTCAGCTATGCTGAATATATCATTCAGAAGGCAAATATTGAAAACTAAAATATTTACTGGGGGATTGCAATTACTAAACTGTAAGTGGTTTGCTGAACTACGCAAAATTACTAAACTTAAGTAGTTTGCTGAACTACACATTATACAATGTCTGTTGTTTTGAAAATATCTCCTAATATATATAAGTTGTCCAACTGAGTGAGCCTGTTTCTCTTCACTATTTTTGCTAGTTGTTCAGGGAAAGAACATTAGACTAGGAGTTAGGGGTATTGTAGTACTAGATCTACTGATAACTGTAAACTTAGGTAGGCTAATTAATTTCTCCAAGACTCCACTTACTAATCAGGAAAATGGCTATTATGTTGATAATTCAAATTTTGAACTTCTACATTTTGACAGCTACAGGTTTTAATAATATAATAGCCAGGTAAATCTTCTGATTAGATTTATAATTAAAACAAGTGTAATCCAGAAAGTATAGTATTGGCCAGGCACCAGTGGCTCACAACTATAATTCTAGCTACTCAGGAGGCTGAGATCTGAGGTTTGCAGTTTGAAGCCATCTTGGGCAAAAGGTCTGTGACACTCATCTCCAATTAACCACCAAAAAGCCGGAAGTGGAATTGTGGCTCAAGTGATAGAGGGCTAGACTTAAGCATAAAAGCTCAGAGACAGATCTCATGCCCTGAATTCAATCCCAAGGACCAGCATGTGCGTGCGCACACACACACACACACACACACACACACACACACACACACACACTCACACACACACAAATTGACAAAAGCATAGGCATACAGATCAATGTGACAGAATAGAGAGTCCAAAAATAGATCCACAGTTACATGAATGGTTATCAACAAAGGTTCTGAAGTCTTTCAAAGAAGAAACAAAGTCTAATTTTTAAAAACAAAATGCTTTAACAATATAAATTAACATGAAGAAAAAAAGAATTATGGGCTTAATGTGGTGCCACATGCCTGTGGTCCCAGATACGTGGGAAGTGGAAGTAAGAAGACTTCTAGTCTGAGACTAGCCTAAGCAAAAGTGTGAGACCCTTTCTGAAAAACAAACTAAAGCACAAAGCTCTGGGCATGTGTCTCAAGGGTAGAGATTACCTAGCAACCATAAGACCTTGAATTCAAAACCTAGACTGCAAAAAACCTTGAAAACAAAAAACATAATAGTAAAAAATGATTGTGCCTAGCCTCACAGGAAATACAAAATATAATAATAAATAGATCATACAACTACATGTAAATTCTAAAATTGCACAATATATACAGAAAAATAGAAATATAGAGACCATGGGTAAGGTAAATTTTTCTTATGTAGTACACAAAATTATGAAACTGATTATTTCATTTACAAAACTGACTTCAAAAATCACTTTAATAAAAATAAAAAAGCAAAAGACATATTGGCAAAAATACTTGCAATTTACATATCTGATATTAAAGACTTCAGAATTTGTAAAGAACATTTATAAACCAATTCAAAGACCAGCAGTAGACTGAAAACAGGCAAGATATCTGAATACACAGTTTATCAATAAAGTATATGATCTATATGCATACGAAAAATAGGACAATTTTCCATTAAGGAAAAACAAGTTAAAACTATGAGATATTAATATTGACATATTAGAACTACTAAAGTTAAAGTGATTGACAAAATCAAGTACTCATGAGAATATGGAACAATTACAAATCTCTGGTAGAAGTGTGAAATGATACAGATACTTTAAAAAACATTTTCCTGGTTTTAATAAAATTCACCATATAATTTTTCACCTAGTAATTCTACTTTATGTGGTCCCCTAAAATGAAAAAATAACATATCTGCAGCATATTTATACATGAATATTTATAGAAGCTTTATTCATAATATCTACAAACCAGAAATATTCCAAACTTTTCTTGGCAAATAACTGAACTGTAGTGGTGATTATACAGAAGTTTCCACTTGTCAAAACTCATCTAATTTATATTATAGAGACTAATTTGATTGTATTGAAATCACATAATACATGTGATTAAATGTACGAATCACACAACCAAGAATGGTGGTACAAACTTGCAGTACCATCTACACATAAAGTCAGGCAGAAGATTGCAAATCTGAGGCCAGTATACTCTACATAGTGAGACTGTTTTATAAGAAAAATAAAGGGGCTGAGTGAGTAATCAATGGTAGAGTGCAAGCTTAAGGTTCAGGATTCAATACCCAGACAATTCCTCCCCCTAATAAAATAACAATAAGAAAACCAACAACTACAAGGCCAACAACAACAACAACAACAACGCACACACAACACTTCAAAGAAAGAAATCATCTAGGCATGTTGATGCACATCTATAATCTCAGAGCTCAAAAGGGCTGAGGAAAAAGGATTATGAGTTTGAGGACATCCCAGGTAACATATGAGATTCTTTGTGGGAACAATACAAAACACCAAAACAAAATCATCCCTTCAGTCTAACTGAAGCTTTGTACTTTTGACCCTCTGTCATCTTCCCCTTTCCTCATCCCCCACCGTATGATACCCAACATTGTCCATTGTTCTTTTGAGTCCGATTGCATTAGCTTCTACCTAAATGTGAGATCATGAATACTAGTCTTTCTATAATTATCATAATATTTTCCAATTCAATCCATGCCTTCAAAAATTATAAATATTCTTCATTTGAAAGCTGAAGTATATGTGATACATATAGTTAATGATGTACATTTCAAAATTATTAAGAGAGCAAATATTCTTCCCAAAGAATATAGATATTTGTGGTGATGGATATGCTAATTAGATTGATTTAATTATTTCACATTGCATTAATAAATCATAGCATCATTTCTTACCTCATGAATATATAAACCAATATAAGCTGTCAATTTACAATTAAACATAAAAATTATGAAAATATAAGAAAAAAATAAAATGAATAAATTATCAGTCAACTTCATTGCCAAGGACCTTGAAAGTGAGCTGTGACTATTCTTTCAGCTGGTGAACAGCACTAGTTTAAAACAAAACTGTTCAAAAATATGTTAAAAATCCATGCATTTGGGGGGGCATTTTGTTGTCTCATTTGAGAATGATGCGGTAATATTAATCACATTCATTCTATGAACATTTTGTTATGTTTTGTTATTGTAAAAATACTGTACAGAGGGGTTCTAGTTACAAGAATAAGGCAATGAGTATATTTCCTATTGAGCACTGTTACCTCCTCCTTTGTTTTTACCTTCCCTTGCAACCTCTCCAACTCCTCCCTTCCCCCCCCCAAAGTTGTAAAGGTCATTTTCAGCATAGTGTCTTGTACATCTCATTGTTACAGTGGGTCAATCTGTATCCATATTTCAAGATTTTGTTATTTTCCTTCCCCTCCCCAAATTAGAAAAATGTATATACAAGATGCAGGGCACTGACATCAAAACAGTGAGAACAGGGGTTATACCTAGGGGGAAGAACATACAAAAGAAAAAAAACATATAGTACATTATAAATATGTTAAAAACAATAGCAAGAAAGAAAAAACCCAAGTGTGTCCTTGTCTTGGAATTCATTTCGCTTAACATCGTCTCATATGGTCATATGTATATAGCTTTTGACCTTTTTTGCTTGTTCTAGACATACAGTAGTTATTGCAAATAAGGGAACCCATGGGACTTATGTTCCTTTGGGCCTGGCTTACTTTACATAATACAATTTTTTCCAAGTCTTTCCATTTCCTAAAAATTGGGCCATGTCATTCTTTCTGATGGAGGTATAGAATTCCATTATATATATATATATATAGATAGATAGATAGATAGATAGATAGATAGATAGATAGATAGATAGATAGATAGATAGATAGATAGATAGATAGATCCATTCATGTATTGAGGGGTATCTGGGTTGGTGCCATATCTTTGTTATGGCAAATAATGCTGCTATAAACATAGTTGTGCTGGTAGCTGGTAGTCTTGTTTGCGATCATTTGGGTAAATGCCCAAAAGTGGGATTGCTGGGTCATAGGGGAGCTCTATGTGGAGTCTTTTATAAATTTTTATTTTTTATTGTGAAAATACTGTACAGAGGAGTTACAATTACATGGGCAAGATAATGAGTACATTTCTTATCAAGCATTGTAGCCTCCTCCTTTGCTTCCCCTTCCCATCCCACCAATGTTGTAAAGTTCATTTTTCAACATAATGACTTGTACATCTCATTGTTGCAATGGGTCCACCTGTATCCATATTTAAACGATTTGTTTTTCCCCTTCCCCTCCACAAATTATACCAACATCAAATACAGTGAAAGCAGGGGTTATACTGTGGGGAAGGACATACAAAGCAACAAAGAAATAATTTTATAAATGTGTTAGAAACAATCGCATGAAAGAAAAAAAACATTGGAATACATATCTTAGGGTTCATTTCCCTAACATCACCTTATCTGACCCTTTCTGCTTGACTCATACATATACTAGATATTGCAAATAAGGGAAACCATGGGACCTATGTTTCTTTGGGCCTGGCTTACTTCACTTAATATAATTTTTTCCAAGCCTTTCCATTTCCTAACAAATGGGGCAGTGTCATTCTTTCTGATGGAGGCATAGAATTCCATTTTGTATATATCCCACATTTTCTAGATCCATTCATCTACTGAGGGGCATCTGGGTTGGTTCCATATCTTAGCAATAGTAAATAGTGCTGCAATAAACATAGTCACAGTCCTGCTGGTAGCGTTAGTGTGGTCTTGTTTGTAAACATTTGGGTAAATGCCCAAAAGTGGGATTTCTGGGTCATAGGGGAGCTCTATGTGGAGTCTTTGAGGAACCTCCATACTGCTTTCCAAAGGGGTTGAACAAGTTTACACTCCCACCAACAGTTCAGTAAGGTTCCCTTCTGGCCACATCCCCTTCAGTGTCTGTTGCTATTAGTGATCTTGATTATAGCCATTCTAACTGGGGTGAAGTGGAATCTCAATGTTGTTTTGATTTGCATTTCTTTTATGGATAGGGAGGTTGAGCATTTCTTCATGTGTCTATTGGCCATTCTTATTTCCTCTTCATAGATGTTTCTCTTTAAGTCTTTAGCCCACTTATTTATCAGGCAGTTGTTTCTTTGAGGATTTGTTGTTGGGGGATTTAATGTTTTGAGTTCCAGATATATTTTAGATATGAGACCCTTGTCCATTGTATGGCTAGTGAAGATCTCCCAATCCGTAGGCTTTCTATTCATCTTGCTAGCTATTTCCTTTGCTATGCAGAAGCTCTGCAATTTCATGCAAGCCCATTTGTCCAACCTTTCTTTGATTTGTTGTGTTTCAGAGTCTTTATTAAGAAAATTTCTGCCTGTGCCAAGGAGCCCTCGAGTTTCTCCTATTCCTTCTCGTAATGTTTTCAGGGTGTATGAACGTGTTTAAGACATCATTTATTTTACCAGCTCAGTTTAGAATTTACTTCACCTGATAAAACCTTTCTTTTCAGACCATTTAATATCAAGTGAAATGTGTACCAGCTAAATTCTTATCCAAAGAACCTTCAAGTACCTAAGTTACAAGTAAACCTTACAATAAAATTTACCATTCTTCATCTGTGTTTTATTTATTTACTTTACTAATTCTATGCCTGTTCAGCTGAAGGCGAGTGCTCTACCACTTAAGCCATGGTTTTCTGGTGGTTTATTGGAGATAAGAGACACCTGGACTTTCCTCCCTGGGCTGGCTTTTAACCAAGATCCTCAGATCTCAGCCTCCTGAGTAGCTAGGATTACAGGAGTGAGCCAATGGCGACCGGCTCCGAAAGTCTTTTTGAATACAGGAAATATCTATCTTCATTATTGTAGGGCCTCTCTTGAATGCACTGTCTTTTAGACTTGCACTCACAGATCATCAAAAAGCATTTTGAAAACATTACATTTTTCAAAGTCAGAAACATTTTTTCACTTGCAGGTTTTAATTTTTCATGTAATGTTTCTCCTCGTTGGTATTTATGAAATGGTTGAAAAACATCAACAGCGTTAAGATAATTGAAAATTGTATTCCTTTCCTTCTTTTTGATGCTTTTTTGCAAGCCTATTAAGTGATTCTTAGATTACAGCAGTAATTTATGTATATTTCAGAGATTTTCCTAAGTAAATGGAATGCTTGTGCGAGAAACTAAGATAATATAAGCCACTGAATTCCATACAGAAAAAAACTACCTTATTTTTCTTTTTGTTAAGATTATTCCTACATTCTCAGTGGTTACCTTTCAATACCTCTCCAAGATTGTTGGGAGCACAAAAGGTTCCAAGTAGACCAGATATTTGATCTCTGAGCGGGCTATTAATGGCTAACAAGCCTGAGGTGCTATGTTATTATATAGTTTTTCCTGCCTCAGGTACTGTTTACATCGACTTGTCTTATAAGCATAACACCTAGCAATAGCAGTTTCTAGTGATGCATCTTAATCATTAACTCTGTCCAAACTGAGTGTTGATGGTTGTATATCAATAATGATCTAATTTACCATAAAATATTCATTTACTTTAATAAACTTCAAGAGTAATAGATTAATTCAATGTAGGAAACTTTATAATATTCCATCTCCTGATCAAAATGGTATTAAAATTATTTCCAAAGACAAATTAAGTAATTTTTGCAATTAGTCAGCAATGAAAGTTACTGAGCAATGATGGGCTCCAAGCAGGTAATGCATAGTGGAATAAGCTCTCTGCTTTCAAGATGCTTCTGATGAATACACATAAGAAATCAAAGTGATTTTCATTTCCAAACAAGGAATATTAACATCTATATTTAAATAGAGTGCAATAATTTTTTCCAAAGATAATAAATGTCTGAATTGTAGTAAACATACTGATGTCTACAGTGACAAGTGCTATGTGAGGTTTAACCCAATCTTACTTTAGAATTAAAGTAACAAAGTTCATAAATGGGATAAACTGAAGTATTTTATAAAAATTATACACTGATATATTTTCTCTATAGGTAAGAATTTTTTTTAGAGTTAAAGAAAGGAAGCTTATATGGATGTTGTTATGCTGTGAAACATAGCCTTAATGGGATTGTGAGGAATTCTGTGTTCCCACAGTATTTATGAAACACTTGGTGGGTAAAATGTCCTCTAGAAGTCAGTAAAAGCGCTAATTTCCATTTCTTCCCTGGACTCTGTTCGGCCCTGCCCTAGTCTTTAGCTTCTCAAATGGGCTGCCCTGCTGATGAGAGAAGTCTTGGAAAGAATCCTGAGTCCTGGGCTCAACCCTATCTGACCTGGTGGAGAGTGCTAAGTGCAGCACACTTAACAGCTGTCCTTCTCCTCTGTACTTTCCATAGCCTGTGCCAAGTGGTGGCCTGCAGAGTCATTTTAATCCTCAACTGGGTATTTAGAAATATTATATGACCATGTAGGAGAGATTAGCATGATCTCTTGTACTTCAGGACCAACAACTTTATAATTCTCTTAGCTGGAAATACAGTTTAAATAAAACATTGTATCATGTTCTTTGACCAGTTAGCAAATAAATTCCAAAAGACAATTTCCTTCTGTGTTTACCATGTTCAATATTTTAAAGCTTGACATGTTATGAACATTTGGAAAACAGAATCTGTTGGATGACATAAAATTTAATTATAGTAAAACTAAAAAGATTTTTGAGAAAGTGACAGCTGTTGTCTTTTCTGATTAAATGCTCTTAAGATTACTAGTCTCTGCTCTAAACAATGATGACATTATACAAAAAGAAATTTTGTATTTTGAAACAAAGACTGTAGAGCCAAAATTTCAGAACATCCCAAAGTTACCCTGCAAGATAGGATACAAATTAGTCCTTCTGCATCTATGTAGAAAACATATTAACATACAGATTGACAGCTTATGAAAAAAATTAATATAAACAAAATTATGTATGGCATGCTGTCAAAGGAAGCCTTTCAGCTGAGTAACAGGTGACATTAAGAAAAGGGCAATTCTATTCATATTCATTCTATATTTTTTAGAATTGTTTTCAAAATTCTCATGGAATAAGTATATTATATATATATATGTATATGTATATATATATATGTATGTATATATATATATTTTTTTTTTGTCAGTCATGGGACCTGAACTCTGGGCCTGGGCGATGTCCCTCAGCTCTTCAGTTCAAGGCTATAGCTCTACCACTTGAGCCACAGTACCACTTCTGGCTTTTTCTGCTTATGTGGTACTGAGGAATCGAACCCAGGGCCTCATGCATGAAAGGCAAGCACTCTACCACTGAGCTACCTTCCCAGCCCAGTATATATATATGTGTGTGTGTGTGTGTGTGTGTGTGTGTGTGTGTGTATGTATATATATATGTATATCTGTATATTTAAAGATTGTATTTGGCATAGTTGCAGTCCTAGATAAAATAAGGGTCACTGGAAAACAATCTCTCCTTTACTGCCATTGATTTTTACTGCCATTGATTTCCTCCTGCTCCTGCTCCTCCTCCTCCTCCTTCTCTTCCTCTTCTTTCTCTGCCTCTATCTCTGCCTCTCCTTTTCTTCCTTTTTGGTCTCTGCTGCACTCCTGGGTTCAAGTGATTCTTCCACCTAAGTAGCTGGGTCTATAAGCATGATACACCATGCTTGCCCCTTTTATCATTATTTTAAAAGAGCATGGGCTTTGGAAAGGTTTGGGCATTCATTACACATTAACCACCGCTACATACTGTTCCCATTTCCAGGCACCAGTAAACTATTTAAAACCATATCCACTAAACCAGACAAAATTAACAAAAATACCCAGCACTCTGATTGTCAAATTGGCCAAGAGAAAGAATGCTTAATATGCTAAATAGGAGTAACATAGGTAATGTCCATGTCTGCCTCATTTAATACTTTGTCCTAATGTATGTAAATTTTGAAATTACTTTTACCTTATAATCCAAGAGAGAATTCACTTGTTCCACTTCAGAATTACTTATCATATCACTTTCTTCATCATCGATAATTTCTATTTTCTATAACAAAAGTAGGTAAGTTTTCACAAATAAATAAATGAATACATTTACATGTCAGATCACTATACTCAATGTATAGCACATATATCTATTGAATGTTTAGGTTTAGTGACTGAGTTATCTAGCTATCAAAAAGAAACTGATCATGGACTAACCCCTTATGTTACACACTATGTATGTTGTCCTACTTCTTCCTACCTTTAATGGATGACTCCCTAGAAAATAGAAAATTAATATTATTTAAACAAAATTCTTTTTATCCTTGAAACAAAAAGCACCCCACATGCATTCAACTCTGCTTAAATAGCGCCCTCCTGTGATAGGAAACTCTCCTCCTGTAAGGAAGGGTAGTATATTTTAATGGTAAGCATATATAATTGTTAGCAAGGGCTTTCTTTTCTTTTGCTACATTAGTCTTCTTTACTTCTACTGGAAAATGACAACATATTGCATGTTATTCAAAGCCAGATACATTTTTTTTAAAATTACATATTTACTGCTTTCCATTAGCTAGATAATTGAAAGCAGACATCTACGATGTAATGATGTAAACTGTGTGGTGATTTTGTTTCTTCACCAGACAGTAACAAAGGGAGTGACAAGCAAAGAGAGATAGAGGGAGAGGCAAAACTGCCTTTAGCTTTAGAATTAAGGGACAACATAGTTTGCTAATATCTTGTCCATAGTAGGCACTAATTATTTGTCAAAAGAATGGCCAAAATGGCTTAGTGCTGATTAAAAGAACAATAATAAGTTCTGTCCATGAGGGTAGGGTAAATTCTTTAGTCATATAACACTTTTTGAACAGCAATGCTAAAAGATAATAAAATCAGCTCTACATTTTTCTTTCACATGAAAAAAAAACATATTTCAGAAGAAAAACATCTTTAAATATTTAAATTTTGCTAACCCAGAGAAAAGTTCTAAAAGGGAAAAAGGTAAGCTAGATTCAGAAACTAAAAAAACCTATCAAAAACAAGCACATGAATAGCAGCATGTAGTAGGAAGAATTTGAAATGAGGTTTCCTATCCAGCAATATATAATGGTGATTAAAAGTCATAAGCAAACTTGGAATGATCATATTTAATATATTGCCTACAAGGATACAATACCATTACAAGGCTCCTGACCTGCAGACTTCTGAGTCAGAAGGACAACTGCAATGAAATTGCTTTCTACTACTGCCTGGAGATGAATCTAATGTTTTTTTTTCCCATTATAATCACTATAAACTTAAGGTTTAATCATGTCGGCTCTGCCTAGACCTCAGATTTCATACTTTTTTTATGTTTTCTATATTCTCTCCCTATTTGGGTTGGTTTTGAGCAAAAGGAGCTAGGTAATTTAGAAAGGAAGGCACCAAAGGCCAATGTATAGATTTGCGCATATAAATAGGTCTAATATATCTGGGTGATTTGTCATCCATGAATAATTGGGGACATTCAAAAGTTACAGTGAGAAGGTATCAACCTTTGAAAGTTTGGAGTTTTGTCTCTGAAAATCAATTGTTCTTGAAAAATTAGGTGATTAAGCGACTATGAGTCATACCGTGTCATGACTTCATTCATTATCTTCAAATGTCTGCTGTAGGGCAGATTCGATGCAGAGAAATTCAGGTTAAAAATGAGCAAGTCTTTAGGAGAAATGAGGTTTCAATATGTAAATAATTGTATATAATTTGTATAACATAACTCAAACCTATTGCCTTGTGGAATTTAATGGCAGTCACACAATTCATAATTGTGTAAAAAAAGTGTTATAGGTGCTACCTGATAAAAGCACATCCTTTGCAGGTGCCAGTGGCTCACATCTGTAATCCTAGCTACTCAGGAGGCTGAGATTTGAGGACATTGGTTCAAAGCCAACCCTAGGCAGATAAGAGTCCGTTAGACTCTTATCTTCAATAAACCACAAGAAAACTGGAAGTGGCACTGTGGCTCAAGAGGTAGAGAGCGCGTCTTGAGCTGAAGAGCTGAGGGAAAGCACCCAGGCCCAGAGTTCAAACCCCATGACTCACACACACACACACACACAACTTTGCCTCACAACTACAGCTGTGTTTAGCTGTATTTAGTAATAGTAGGGTCTAATGTGAGCTTCAGAACTAAAAATCAATAAAATGATCTCCAAAAAAATAATGCATATATAGGTAGAAAACAATGTTAGATATTGTTGGTGTTTATCAATAAATAATATTAAACAAATAATGTTTGTAATAGAAGGCAAATCTGGACATCATAGTCACTTCAAAATGGAAAAAATCCATCTTCAACATCATGTTTTAATAGCAACAAGGCACAGAATAGTAATTCAAAAGAAAAATGAAAGCATGGTGACATTGCCCTTTCTGTCTGACTTTTTTTGGGTTGGTCGTGGGGCTTGAACTCTGGGTCTGGGTGTTGTCCCTCAGCTCTTCAGCTCAAAGCTAACGTTCTACCACTTGAGCTACAACACCACTATCTTGATTTTTTTAATTGGGTCAAAACATAAAAAAATACTGTTTAAAACAAATGCAGTGGGAACTGTATGTTTACATTTTCTCAAAGCTTAGTTAATTCCCACATGGTCTGTCTCTTACTGCTTTTCATACTCTCACAATACAGTCTTGCCTTCTTCACAGTGATTTTTAAGACGACTAACAGAGTCCAATCTAACCGGAAAAAGGAAAAGATGGTGAACAGTGGAGATAGGTATGGTCTGAATAGAGAACTGAAGAGTCAGAAATCCTGGGCTATAAGCACCAGAATTAACAAAGGCTTCCTTCGAAAATTCAGACTAAACTCCATTTTAATCCTTCTGTCAAATGAGAAGTAATCTGCTCCTTGCTCAGTATGTTAAAGTAAAATAACTTGTTATATATTAAATGTTATATTTGCTCTAAGTATTAGATTTTTATATCTGCAAGTCTCCTAGGTCAAAAAATTCGGCTATTTTCAATTTTATTTATGAAACACTCAAAGAGATTTACCTTCATTGGAAACAGCTATGTTTTGATTTGTGATGTGGAACCAGCTTTTATTTCGACAATACTAATGCTGTTAGGAACTGGAAACATGTCCTTGAAATCCATCACATAATGAGGAAAGAATTTCAAACTGTACATACCACATTATCTGCGGATACTACACGGTGGTCTTCTTCCTTATGATCCCTTCCCTCATTTGGAACAACTTCATTGGGCTCTTCTACATTAAAAAAAAAAGCCATGGTTTCATTTTCATACTTCACAAGTTTATCAAGAGTGTTTTTTTCAGATTGCTTAAGAAATTTCTCTATTGTAAAAAGACACAAGTGACATTTATCCATGCTCTGATGAACAATTCCACTTTCAATAGTGTATTCTAAGAAAACAAATGTGAATGAGTACAAATTCAAGGGTGATCATCACTGTGCTATTTATGAGAGAAAATTGGAAGAAATTTCTACCTTTAAAATTACTAAATTATTGCTTATTTGATCATCATAAATTAATTGTATTTATAAGAACATTTTGTTGTACTGTTTGTATACCTACATTATATATATATATATATATATATATATATATATATATATTCTTGTATTAAATTCATCCAAGGTACATTACTTTTTCCCCCTGATCTTTTTTAGATTTTAGTGAGAAAGCATCTACCTTTTTTGGGGGGGGGGTCTGGTCCTGGGGCCTGAACTCTGGGCCTGGGCGCTGTCCCTCAGCTCTTCAGCTCAAGGCTAGTGCTCTACCACTTGAGCCACAGCGCCACTTCCGGCTTTTTTCTTTTTGCTTATGTGGTGCTGAGGAATCGAACCCAGAGTCTCATGCATGCAAGGCAAGCACTCTACCACTGAGCCACCTTCCCAGACCCACATCTACCTTTAACAATGAATTATTAGAGAAATTATTTAGGATTTTTCACTACAATAAACACAATGGATCCACTAAAAAAGATATAGAATTGCTAATAATGAGAAAAATATTCAGGATCTACTGGAAAGTGGGAAAAAATGAAGGTAGCATATATTGTGTAGAAATAGGTACTTTTAATTTTGTAAGAGAAAATATATATTCTTGGAGGAAAAATAGAGTGAGCACCATTTTACATCAAAGTATTGCTATTATAGAATAATTTTTATACATGATATAAAACTGTAAATGCAGTAGATTTCTGATTTTGTCAAAAGGTAGGAATATCTGATGCATCTGTACACACATACACACAAAAATACCAGTACACAAACACTGTATTTATGTACAGAGAAAATACTAACAAAAATATCACCTCATTCCTGTTTTCAGATGATTACCATGCAGATTATTTTCATTTGGATTGTATTTCATAATATTTGAGCAATAAATAGATATTCCTTTTCTAATCAAATTCAATATTTTAAAATACAGCAAGATTTTAAAAGTGAAGGAAAAAATAATTCAGAGAAGTCAGTTTAAAAATTAACCCCTGTTTTCACTGTATTTGATGTCAGTGCCCTGCATCTTGTATATACACTTCTATAATTCGGGGGAAGGGAGGAAAAAACAAAATGTTTAAATAGGGATACAGGTTGTACAAAAAATAGGGATACAGGTTGAACCCCTTTAACAATGAGATGTACAAGACACTGTTGAAAACGAACTTTACAACTTTGGCGGGGGAGGCGGTGTAGGGGGTTAAGGGTGGGGGGTGTAGTTGTGGAGGTGGGAGGGAAGGGATGGTAGTGGCAAAACAAAGGAGGAGGCAATAATGCTCAATAGAAAATGTACTCATTACCTTGCTCATGTAACTGTAACCCTCTGTACAGTATTTTTACAATAAAAAAGTAAAAAAAAAAAAAACTCTCCAAAAGGAGAGCTGATGGCAAATGCCTGTAATCCTAGCTACTCAGGAGGCTGAGATGTGAGGACTGTAATTCAAACCTAGCCCGGGCCTGAGAGTCTGTAGGACTCATCTCCATTAAAAACACTACCAAAAAAGCTGGAAGTAAAGCTGTGGCTCAAGTGGTAGAGCGCTAACACACAGGACACGCACAAACAACAACAACAAAACAAAAACTTTTCCATACTGAGCTGTAGGATGTGGCTAGTATCTGCATACATTGTCTTGTGTTGTACATTTCGTTCACCTCTAGCACTTAGAAAAACAGGGTAGCAAATATTTTTTTTCTTCACAGTAATGTATAGAGATTATGTTGGTAACTATTAGTAGAATATTTGTTTCTTGGCATTTGAAAGTTTTTTCACCTTGAAAGTAGAACTAAATTATTAACCAGCCCTCTTAAGATTTTTTGAGTCCATTTCCATGTAAAGATATAAATGAGTATCTTGTATGAGGTTGGGGATGACAACAGGAAAACAGGGTGGATCCAGAAACTCATTTATAAGAACTCTGTATGAGAATTCAAGTTTAAGATACCTAGGTTAACATGAGGAGAATTTACATGTGAAGTTTTCTATACATTTAATTTCTATTTTGTTTTCTCCTTTACTAGATCTTTAAAAAACACATCATATTTTGTGCATTTATGTTACAGAACCTGATATTATAATCCACATACACACAATAGATATAACAATAAAACTAATCAGCATAGTTCTCATTTTATGTAGATATCCATCCACCAGACAACAGAAGATATAAGCATTTTGCCAAAATCTGAATCCAATACACTATCATTAACTATGTTTTTCATGTTTTATATTACATTATTCATTCTACATATATTCTGCTTTGTATCTTTGACTTATATTTCCCCATTCTCCCCCACATGATTCTGGTAACCAGACTTTTATTCGCTATGTTCTTGGCTTTTTCTCCCCTACTGTTGAATACAACACGAATATGCCTGGAAAATGTTATACTAATGGAAATAAAACAGAGAGAAAATAAACATTACATGAGCTCATTTATCTGTAGAATATAAAGAAAAACAAATCCATTCAAAATTTATGAAAAAATAGTTCCTAGATGGAGAATCTTTTACCTATTCATTCCTTACACATTTCAAATCACACACATTTTAAGTTCTACATCACTGGCAACTAAATCAAATGAAAGGAGGGGAGTTGTCATCTGCTGTAGCTGCAAAGCTGAAATTAGTACTGGTGGCCTCCAAAGAGGGATTAAATTGTTCACCAATAAGATCATTACTATTATTATTCCTTATAGGTTTTCCTTATATTCTTGTTCTCACTTATAACTTTGTACACCGTTCTGCTATACTGACAAAATGCTTTATGTGTAATTTGATTATTTTAGATGACTTTGATTAAAAGACATTTTTCAGCAGTTATGCTCACTAGACACTGTTGAAAATGAACTACACAACTCGTGGGGGGATAGGAGAGAAGAACTGGGAAGGAGTGAAAGAAGGAGTGACACTGTTCAAAAAGAAATGCACTCATTATCTGACTTATGTAACTGTAACCCCTCTATACATCACTTTTACAATAATAATTAAAAATCATTTTGAAGATTCTAAAATAAAAAGGTGTGCAGTGATAAATTGAATAAAGAATGCTTTCTTTTGCTTACAGATAGGTTCAAATCCAGTGAACATTTGAAAGCTAAACACTTAACATACCTGGCTATTCCTCAGGAAAAGTAGCTTTGCTAATTGGAAAATAAATAAGTGGAATTATTAACAGTTAAAACTCTAGAGGGCACTCACATGAAGTAACTGTATGCAGAATTATTTCATGTGCATATCCACATAAATAGACGCAGCTGAAAATAGGCATCATTGTACAATTTAATGTTATGCATGGTGTTTCTATGCTTTAAAAATTTGTGCTCAAAATGGAAAAAATATTTAAAATTGTTCAACCATAAATATATTTCAGTAGCTACAAAAATTGAAATTAATGAGCTCAGTCATCCAAGTATTATTTTTGCTGAAGTTTGCAGTTGTGGAAGGAGTGAACCCACATAGCCGAAAAAACATCCAGTCCCATTCAACCACAACTCCCTTTTCTCATCACTTCCACACAGGGAAATGGAAAGGAAACAGGACAGAGGAAGGCTGCAGGTAGAAAGTGGATGCTAAATTCATAAGCTATCTGCCCTCTCAGAAACAAATGAATAGATGTGAAACTCCTAAAAGATTACTAGCACTTTTGTTAACTTTAGCTAAACCTGCCTTTTATTGTAAGTAAAAAACAGACATGTTAGTTTATACCGATTTTTAAATCAGAACTCATATGATTTTCACTTGGTGATTTGAACATTGAAGCATGTAATCCTTGCTTTAAAGACAGATCTTCTTCTTAGACATTTAGAAAACTCTAATCCTATTAAATTAACAACTGTGTTATTAGGACTCCAATCTCAGTTGTTAGGTTTTTGAAATAATATGATTCTGTTACTGAGATTATTCTGTCTGTATATCTCTAAAATGTAATTAGTGGAAGTCTCAAAGTAGACATACATTTAACTGCATTTTTCTAAAATGGATGATAATATGGTTAACGTATTTTAAAGTTATGATATTAATCTCTTCCTAATGTAATTAACAGAGTCATTACTAAAGGATCACACAGTCAAATTAATCAAATTAGCATTCTCTATCAGTAATATGGGGAAAGAATAGGACAGGACTAACAGGAAGCTGCACAGAAAAGGGAGTCTTTGGAGTTTGAAAATGCTTTTCTGTTACAATTTCTGATGAGAATGAAAAGGTTACCATGCAGCTGTAAAAAATAAGCCACTGAGAGAGAAATTCTAGGCAATAGCACTTCTCATCAAGTATTTTTTTGATTTCTACATTAAATTCTCCCTCTCCCTTTTCTCATTAGGTCTTGATTACTATGCCAGCTGTCTAGGGAACACGCTATTATATGACAAAGGATGCCAGTGCAGGAGCCGTGGTATATTAAAAGTGGACCATTATGGTGGACTTTAAAATTAACTTCCATTTTTTCCATTAACTACTTATTTTCTAAAATTCTATTTTAGATGAGAAAGTGGCAAATGGTGAATGAAACTCCATTTAAGGGCTTCCATACGTCTCTTTATCAGAATATTTCCTCACAGCTCTCCCATACACTCACACAAGCACAGAAGTCCCTATCCACTCCCTCACGAATAACTGCCAGGCATCATGCTGTAAAGATCCTTTTGGGAATTACTGGGAATTTCCAGGCATCTCCAGAAACAGAAAATTTAGTAAGATTAACATAAGAAAAAAAATTTAATGGACCAACTTTATTAGGAGTAACAAGTTTGGAAATGATGAAATGGTTTTTTTTTCTTGATGATTTTTAGATCCACTCCATAATTATCTTGCACACTAAATTCTGTTATCATCTGCATCATTATCAATAAGAAATGACTAGAAGGAAAGGGGAAAAGAGGGAGTATGTCAGACTGACAGATTTGAATATTGACAATGATAACCTTCAAATGTCTCATTTTTTAATTCATTGTCTTCTCAATAGTGACAGCTCTTCTATCCTTTCCATTGCTTAACCTACTGCAATCTGCTTGCCTCCCCCACTGAGTATGCAATTAAGTGCTGTCTCTAAGACCCTCTGAAACACTCAATTCAATGGCTTCTTCTTTCTACTCACACTCTATTAGATGATTTAGATGACAACATGTGTTTCTTTTAAAATCTTCACCTACCCTTGGTTTTACTACCTTGGTTCTCTTTTTTTCTGAATGTATTTCAATAGCTTCTTATTGGTTTCAGACCTTGCCCCTCATATCAGGATATTTCTCAACAAAAGCATAGTATTTGTCCATTATTTTGTTCTTAACTTACTTTATTGAATATTTTATTTTCTATGGCTATTATTAACCCTTGATGAATCCCATACTTCTATTCTTGTCTTTAGCTCTCTTCTGATTTCCAGAGCCATATGACCCAGCAGTTCTTTATTGATGAGTCCTGTCTCATCTACAACTCAGTATGTGCAAAACTAAGTTGATCTTTCTATAGTAGCTTATCCATTTAATTCAGTACTAGCAATAATCTTAAATGGATATTGTGGAAGAAATTGTGAAAAGACATAGCTAAATAATTCTAAAATTCATATAGAAGAATCAGTGTACTTCAAGAGCAAGGAATAGCAAATGCTCATTCAGATATTAAGACATTTTATTAAAGAATTTTAAGCAATCATATCCATGGAACATAAAAGGAAGTCCAGAATTTTAGCCATGTGTGTATGTCTTCATATGTGTATGTAAATGTATGTGTATATGTCTAGATATGCATGCATATTTGAGTTTTAAAAGCCAGTCTGAAAATCACTGTAAAAATACATTATTTAATAAATAGCATAGCCAGACGATGGTGGCTCACTCCTGTAATCCTAGCTACTCAGGAGCCTGAGGTCTGAGGATCACCATTCAAAGCCAACCCAGGTAGATACTCTTATCTCCAATAAACCACCAGAAAACCAGAAGTGGTGCTGTGGCTCAAGTGGTAGAGCACTTGCCTTGAGCTGAAGAGCTGAGGGACAGCAACCAGGCTCAAAGTTCAAGCTTTAATAATAAATAAATAAATGAATAAATAGCATAGAGACAACTGGTTATCTATTTGGAAAAGTAAAACTAGGTTTTTTTCCTCACATACCTAATGGTAAAATACATGCTTGTTGAAATAAAGATTTGATTGCAAATCTAAGGACACTAGGTGGAGATGGCCTGATTTAAGGAGATGTGGTAGATGATCCAAACAGAACGTGGAGATTGGTCAAGACCACAAAATGGGCCAGATGGAATGAAGATGTAAAGACTGAGATCTCAAAATGTTTATGCAAGTGCAAAATTGAAAACATGCTAGGAAAAGGAGACTGGCAGTCAATAACATCCCCCAAAGCAGAAACAGCCAATCAGCCAAATACCCACTAAGTTGATTAAAGCTGATCCTCAACCCCACATTGGTGCAGGAGCAGTAATATTAGAACTATACCCCTTTGCCTGGTTGCCCATCATTTTTCTTTTCTTTCCATTTAAAGAATTTTCTTCAAATAGTTGTAAAGGAGGTTTCAACTGAACATATCCATGTATGTGTACAATGCCTCTTGATGAGAATCATTCCATCTACCACTCTCAGCCCTCCCATGTATCTTAACAAACTTTGTCTCTCCTATTCCCCTGTCTTGGTAATTCCTTTTAATTGTCCATTTTTCTAAACAAGTCCAACATGCCAGAAACAAATACAAACCTATATTTTCATAACTGTAATACAAGGGAATACTTTGTAATTATGACATCAGAGTCTCAAAATATAGAGGGAAGTATTGGAATATATGATTAACAAGAAATTATATGCTCAAGTTATGGTATCAGAAAACATTATAAACAAAATTGAACAACAAATAATAAACCGGAAATCAATGTGTCAATATCCTGAATAAAACTAAATGAAACAAAAGCAAAAAGGGGAAACTACATAATTGTTGCTCTATTTCTCAATTATATATAAAATGCTTACATATTGTATGATTTTTTTCATATAAAATATGCAAAAATGACACACCTAAAAATCAGAAAGCAGATTTTTGGTTTCTGGAGCTGATAGTGAGAGGAAAAACACTATAAATGGGCTCAAAAAGTTTTTTAGTGATGTAAAAGATCTAAAATGAGATTTTAATGATGACGATGGTTGTACAACTCTATAAAATTTACTAAAAATAACTGAATTCTGCATTAATAATGGATAAATGTTATGCCATGCAACAAATATTAATAAACATGTTAATACAATGGCATGAGAATTTTTTCAATGCTTGGTGCCTGATTAAATAGACTTCTCATGTACAAATGGTATAATTCTATACTATTATTTTCAATCTTATTTAGGAAAACATTGAGAAGAATTACAATGATGACACAGCCTAATTTGCCTTCTCACTGAGGAAACCAAACTCCAATGAGTTAAATTAAATGCTTTGTTTGAAGTCACATTTTCAGATAATGGAAAAGCTATGACTTGCACATAGTTTGCTGAGCCACAAGCTTAGTGTTAATTGCATGATACTATACACCCTTACATGACAGTGTATTCATAATGCTCTCACCCAATTGGACTAGCATTCCAAAAGGAAATCCCTTCTGAAATTACAATTGAACATTTATAATAACTGATACTTTTAAGTGCAGGAGATCACTACTGTGGTAAACAAATGTTCCTTGTGATGACTTGATATGGAAAACTGTTTAGGAGCAAACATTAAAAATCAAGTATCTCTTAAAATTCTTGCTCAAATGTTTTGCAAACTCCAGATTTGAAGTGCAGTGAGTTAAAAAGCAAGGAAAAATGCATCAAGTTACAAAGGTTGTTATGAGGAGTTGCAGTAAATAAAATACCTTGAGAGCTTCCTTCAGACAAACAGATAGATATTTCATCATTTCTGTCATTATCATCTCCTACATCAGGCCCAGCTTCATCTCCAGGTGTGAGGGCAGGCAAAGAGCCAGACTCGGGTTGCTCAGAGAAATCAGCAGGGCCTCCTCTTGGAGGTGGAACTTCAATCCCCATTAAACGATATTTCCTTCTTCGATTCCCAATCCAAGTCTTTGTAAGAGAAAAGAAGGGGAAGTTTTGTAAGCATACAAAACTTAGAAGTTCTGGGCATTACAATAATAAAGGATGCAGCATAAAATGTGATTTAAAAGAAGAAATAGGTATGCAGAATAATGAAATTTTATGGCAATAAGCTGAAATATAAGCAATTATAATTTTATTTAAAATAGTTTATTAGTAGAAAGAGGCTATTTATCTAGATATTCATTCAAACAGCATGTAGTTTATTACAGATTAGTTTTGTTTCAGATTTTATTTTGTTCCTAAGAAACACAATTCACCAAATGTTTCAAAAAATAAGAACTATTTTTTTCAAAGAAGCCAAGTATACAGTCATAACTATGGTTCATACACCATACTTAAAATTATTGGAGGACCAAAAATTTTTGTGGCCCTTAGTCCTTTTGTTTTTGTTTTTCAGATAGACTCCCTCCTTAACTTTCTCCAAGAAGGCTGAGAACCATAGACTGTCCTCCCAAGTAATGAGGATTACAGGACTGGGTCATTATGCCTTGCCTTAAGACCAAGTTTTAAATGGCTTCCTTCTCCTGTCCCCCATCCCTCAAGTGTTGAGGATGGAGGCTGGGGTCTCATGCATAACAAGCATGCTGTCTACTGCTGAGTTATATCTCTGCCCTAAAACATTTTTTACTGAAATAATTTTTGGTGTCACAGAAAATTTCAGATAGTGCTTTCATGCTTTTCACTGTTTCCTCTAACATATGCCTTATAAAATTATCACAATTTGTTGTCTCAACATTTGGCTTTTACATATGAAGCTATTATCAACACTCATATATATGTTTTCCTGCAGGTATGTTTTAGAATAAATGTACAAGAATTCAATTTTTCAGTCATTTGATTACAGATTATGAGAAAGTGCCAAATTGTTTTCCACTGGAGCTGTGCTATTTTGCTTTCCTATCAGTAGTGTATAAGAGACAGGGATTCTCACTATACTTGCTAGTATTTACTACATTCAGTAATTCTATTTTGTGTGCTGAGTATTGAACCCAGGAGTTTGCCTAGGCAAGCACTCTACTAGCAAGATTCATCAAGTTCTTAATGTATATTTTTTTCTCTAGTGACTAATGATGTGAACTTCTTTCCATGTGCTAGTTTGCCATTTATATATCCTCTTAAATGAAATGTCTCCTCACTGTCTAGTTGAAATGTTTCACTGAACGCAAAAAACTGGCTGTTTTGGAAGCCCTTTATATATTTTATATATGAATTCTTTGTCAGATTCGTAGTTAGAAAATATTTCATTGCAGTGTGCAGATTTAGTTTTTATCTTCTTGGTCTTTTACAGCATAAACATAAAACTGATTAAATTCATTAAAATAAGAAAAGACTGGACCATTGAAATAATCAGTGAAATCAAAAAATAATCTAGCAAGACAAAAAATATTTATAAAAAGATAAAGCATACAGGGTCACCATATCCAGAATAAGTTAAATGATATCACTACAGACCTTGTAGACATGAAAGAGATTTTTTTAAAAAAACCAAAAATTTGATGATTTATGTGAAATGAACCAATTCTTTGAAAAGCAATTGTAATATAAAATAAACTACTTTATTAACCTTATAATTATTAAGAATAATGAATTTATTATAAAGATCATTCTTGAAGAAATATCCAAGCCCCCAAAGCTTACAGTTAATACCATTCTTTTGTTGTTGTTGTTGATAATATTATTTGATGCTTGTCTTTATTTTATTGTGAAAATACCATATAGAGGGGTTACAATTACATGGGCAAGATAGTCAGTACATTTCTTATCAAGCATTGTTGCCTCCTCCTTTGTTTCCCCTCCCATCCCCTCCTCACACCCCCAAGGTTGTAAAGTTAGTTTTTCGACATGTCTTATACATCTCATTGCTGTAATAGGTCCACCTGTATTCCTATTTAAACAATTTCTTTTTTCCCTTCCCCTCCATAAATTATAGCAACATCAAATACAGTGAAAACAGGGGTTATACCATGGGGGAGGGACAAACAAAGCAACAAAGAAATCATAAATATGTTAGACACAATAGCAAGAAAGAAAAACCATTTGAGTCCTTATCGTGGGGTTCATTTCGCCTAACATCAACTTATCTGACTGTTTCTGCTTGTCTCAGACATATGCTAGTTATTGCAAATAAGGGAAAACATGGGACCTATGTTTCTTTGGGACGGGCTTACTTCACTTAATATAATTTTTCCAAGTCTTTCCATTTCCTAACAAATGGGGCAATGTCATTCTTTCATGTGTGTTCTTGAGTGTGTTTCTGGAAGAGATTAGAATTAGACTAGGTAGACTGAATAAGAAGATGGCCCTTGTCAATATGGTAAGTATCAATCAATCCATTTGAGGGCCTAAAGTTTCCATGTAGTCTTTCCCTGAAATCTTCAATCTTCTTTATATCAAATTCCTTCTTCATTGAAACTATTAAAGGGGATTTTTCTATTTAAAATTCAGCATTTCTTTTTTTAATTGTAAAAATACCTTACAGAGGGGTTACAATTACATAGGCAAGTTAATAAGTGCATTTCTTATCAAGCATTGTTGCCTCCGCCTTTGTTTCCCCTTCCCATCCCTTCCCATTACCCCCTCACCCCCCCACCCCCAGCGCCAAAGTTGTAAAGTTCATTTGTGACATATCTTGTACATTTCATTGTTGCAATGGGTCCACCTGTATCCCTATTTAAACAATTTGTTTTTTCCCTTCCCCTCCACAAATTATACCAACATCAAATACAGTGAGAACAGGGGTTATACCGTGGGGGAGGGACATACAAAGCAACAAAGAAATATCTTATAAATATATTAGCCACAAAAGCAAGAAAGTAAAAAACATTTGAGTCCTTAACTTGGGGTTCATTTTGCTTAACACCAACTTATCTGACCAAATTCAGCATTTCTAATTTTGAAATATACAGGTTTTCAAACATTTTATATAAGCAAGTTATTTGATCACTCTGGGCCTCAATATTTTTTGGAAGTTCTGGAGTTTGAACTCAAAGCTTCATTCCTGCCAAGTAGGTACTCTGCCACTTGAGCCACACATCTAGCCCTTTCTTTGCTCTGGTTACTTTTGAGATAGGGCCTCTCTTTTTACTTGGGATACCATAGAAAATAATCACCTTCCTACTTATACTTCCTGCTGTAGCTGAGCTGACAGGCATGTGTTAGCATGTCAAGTTATTTTAAATTTATTTTTCTGTTCAGATGGGATCTTGTGAATTTTTTTGCCTGAAATGGCCTCAAACAATATTCGCCATCTTTGCCTCCTGAATAAGTAGAGGAGTAGGCATGAGCCATTGGTACCTGGCTAGGACTCAGATACTTACTTATAAAATTAGGGAGCTATGGCCATGTGTGCCGTGTGTGTGTGTGTGTGTGTGTGTGTGTGTGTGTGTGTTTATGCTGTATAAACATTGTTCTCCTCTGAGCCTTGCTTTTTTTTTTATTAAGATCCAAATAGGAAATCAGTTTCAATCCTGTGTTTACTGAGTATGCTGCTATGTGTTAGTGTACACTAACAAGGAGATAAAAATGTAGTAAATGCATATATATAGATATATGTATATATTTGAACAGTCTACCATTATCTCTTTTCTTTTGAAACATACGGATATCAAGGAAGCCCTTCTACAGAGAGCAGCTACCCTGGCACAAGATGTTTATTATTATCAATGCCAGATTAAATACAAAAATCTTAAAAAATAAAAAGTCAGTAGAGAGACTGGAAGACAATCGAGGATATCTTATATATACTTTCAAAGAGCAGAAATAGAAACAGATTACAGTGGGAATCTCACAGTAGCAGTTGTATTTCAAGTACAGAAAGTAACCAGTACAATTTGCAGCAAGTTTTGAAAACTATGGAAAATATATCTTTAAGATAATGAAACTGTGTCACTTCCAAATATGTATGAATATCTTAGATGTGTCTATATACAGGAAAGGGTCTGAGGATAAATTAGTGGTAAGTGCATAGGAAATTAAGCAAACAAACAAAACTAATTAAATTATAAACTCTAGGGGAACAAAATAATGTTATGCAGAAGAGGAAAACATGACAGGCTGCATAATTCAAAGATGTAAAGCATTTACATAGTCATAATAATGTTAGCCCAGAATACCACACTAACTAAAATTAAGGGAAGATAAAGAGAAAGTATGCCTGTAAGTGAAAGGATCAACAAGGTGAGTTGAAAAGACATTTTTCTTTTAAAAAAGCTTTCAATATCATAGTGAAAATTCAACAGCAAATGCTTAACATGGAAAAAAAATCAAGAAACAACAATATAAACAAATATGAGAAAGACAGCTAGCTACTCCTCATATTGGTTCTCACCTTCTTCCAGAGTTATAGCACATTTAATTGGCCACATGATTGCCCACAGTAAAGCTACATTTGTAGCTTTCTTTGAAGTTTTTTTATGACCAGGTAGCTAACATTATCCAATGAGATAGAAATGAAAGGATATTACAGCAGTTTCTATGACCTTCTTTGAAAGGACAGGAGGTATATACTCTTTGACCCTTCTATCCCTCTCATTTGTAGTACTTGAAATACACAGGCCATAACTTTGGACCTTCAAGGCAGAAGCTATCTCATGGGGAGGCAGAACAGAAGATGGAAGATACCTTGGACTCTGAGGACTTCATAGTGTAGAACTGCCATGCTAGTTGTAGACAGAAAGTCATTGGACTTACACCCAGAATTATGATATCTCATTTGAGCCATTGTTACTTTGAGTAACTCACAGCTAAGCTAATTCTAATAAAAAATAATACATCACTGATAGATAGAAGTAAATATCAAAGGAATAATTGAAACAAATGGGAAGCTTTTGTCTCAAGCTATTACAAAACTGTAGGAGAAGAAGGAGGAACATGACTCCTTAAATTGTGTACATATGTAAACACTGATTTAAAAAAATAAAAACAGCAATGACAACAAAATATATGTATAATATATAATATATTTCCCTATTCTTGGCTTTTGCTTAGGCTTTCTATACTATATGATCCTGCTCCAATTCCTTTTCATTTATATTCTTGTGTCATCCCTCTTACTAGAATTTAAGGTCCTTAGATATAGGAAGCATCTAATGCATTCTCTTCCCTTTGTTAATATATACTAACACATAGCAGCATACTCAGTAAACACAGGATTGAAATTGATTTCCTATCTGGATCCTAATAAGAAAAAGCAAGGCTCAGAGAAGAGTGTTTATTTTTAGAATAGTATTTATTTTGAGAAATCTATGTTCTGCAAATTTTCTCTATATTCCTTTATGTGATTTCATTTAGCAGAGTTTTATGTTTTGTTATTTTTTCTGTAATAGTATTTCCTTCTTGATTTTCTCCAATGATTCACCACGGTGTGGTGATGCCAGTTTATACTTTTTCACAAGAGCCAATGTTCACTTGCCTTCCTAAATCTGTGTTTAATGAGACATCAGTGATAGGTGGTTTTAAAAATTATTATTGTTACTATTAAAATTATTATTGGTGATATTAAGGATATAACTCTAGGCCTCATGCTTGCTAGACTGGCACTATACCACATGAGTAACCCTTACTTTCTCTTATTGCACTGGTTATTTTTGAGGTAGAGTTTTGCTTTATGCTTAGGCTGGCCTGGACTGTGATCCTTCTACTTGTGTTTCTTCCATAACTAAAATAACAGGCATGTGCCAGTGCACTCAGCCATTGATTGTTATGGATTATTGCAAACTGTTATGACTAGTCTGGCCTTGAAACATGAGCCACGCTGCCCATCTAGTGAGAATCCTTATATCATGGGAAGTAGCAAATGTTCAAATCAGCCCTTTTACAAACTTTAAAAGCTGATTGTTAAATAATTGGCAGCATTATTTCTATTTAGACTTGTTAAATACTTAGCAGCATTATCACAATTTAAACTTTATAGTAACATCTTTCAGAATAGAATATGAACTACTGTCCTTACAATTGGTCTGGGCTATTTTTCAATCTACCATTCATTACATGAATATGTGAGATGTATTTCAGATCATGTCATCCAACTTTTAAACAGCATTACTGAGATATATTTAACATACCATAGAGTTCATGCATTTAATGTGTGTAATTAAAATATTTTCAACATATTCACAGAGATGTGCATCAATCAGGAGTAATTCCAGAACACATACATTATGCAGAAAAGAAGACCCCAACCCATTAGCTGCCATTCCCATTCCTCCTAGTTCTTGGCAACCGCTTATCCACATCTACAGTGTGCCTATTCTGCATGTTTCACATGAATTGAGTCTACAATATGTGATCTTTGGTGATTAGGTCTCTCCCTTTGTATAATGTTTTCAAGGAATATCCATATTGAAGGATACATCAATATTCAATTCTTTTATAAGGGTTTATAATATGATATTATATGCATTTACTACATTTTGTTTGTCTGTTCACTTGATGGACATTTGGGTTGTTTCCACATTTGTTAACAGCATGAAAATTATTGAAAATGACTTACCCGGACTATTTCACAGTCAACATTTAATTCAGTTGCAACAGCCTCAATCTTCTCTCTGCAAACAGAGCCCAGGCTGGTCATGCCATTGTCCCAGTACTTCTTAAGGGTGGCTAAATCTCGGTCACTGAACTGAGTGCGGTCTTGTAGCTGAAAATTACAGTTTTGAAAATTAGAATAATCAAGGAAGCAATATTATAGAGATGATAATAAGGGTGAAATGTACTAGGTTATGAACACCACATAATAGCAGACAGATGCACAGCACAGTTCTCTATTCTCTCATCATGAACGTGTTTTCAATTTTTTGTATAAAACAATACAGTGTGGTTGGATAAAATGATTAATTTTTTTACCTGAAAACAATATAAAATATTAATTTGAAACAGTCATATTCAAGGGAAATATATTCATTGTAAAAATATAGGTAAATAAATGAGAGAATTTAAATCATGTTGAAGTTGGAAATAACACTTTTAAATACATATAATTATGTGTAAATATAATGTCAATAATCTGCAGATGGACATTTGTGTATTACACATAGCTCAAAATCAAAGAGGATAACATCAGCATGTCATCTTTTGATTTGTCATACAAACTTAAACATTAATCTCCTAATAATATTAAAATTATTTAAGATAAATAAGTAAAATCAAGAGAATAATGTAGTAAAGTACAATCATACTTATGGCTTCATAAAATTTTATAGTAATCCTAATCCTTTTGTTTTTAGGTTTTAAAAAAATCCAATAAACCATAAGGTAACTACATTGCTTCATTCAATGAGTCCTGGAGGCATCCATAGGAAATGAATTAGAAATGTGATAAAATAATGATCTTCATTTTGCTGATAAAGAATCAGGAAAAGAAAGGTCAAAGGAGTCATTTGATAGGCCACTGAGTACAAGGCAAAGTTAGAAATATCTGTTTTTTAAAAAGCGGTTTTATCCATATGATGTTTCCAATTATCTCAAGAGGTGGTGGGGAAAAATCTAAAAATGGACTTTAAATAAAAATATATATCCTACATAGCCCTGTGCTCTGTGTGTGTGTGTGTGTGTGTGTGTGTGTGTGTGTGTGTGTGTGTGTGCGTGCGTGCATATTTGTGATCAGAGAGAAGAAATAGAGGAAGTAGGAGGTAGAGAGAAGAAAGAGAGGAGAGGCAGCAAATAAGACTTGTGTGTCTGTGTGTGTGTGTGTGTGTCTGTGTGTGTGTGTGTGCATGTGTGTGTATGGGAGAGAGACAGTGTGTGTCAGAGATCAATTCTGCAAATCATGGTGCAAGCTCTGAGATTCTGTTGCTACCTGATGATCTGGTCTCACACAGAGGATAATCCAATACTTCCTATACACAAACTTTTTTTTAACATTTCCCCACTAAATAAAATTTGAACATCAGATTCATGTAACACTGGAAAATTATACATATAGAATATGAAATGACTTTAAAAAGGGTTAGAATAGTTAATCATGTAATACTAAACAATGAACACATTTTAAAGCTACAATCTTTTGTAAAGTGCTTTTGTTTAGCCAGTGGAGGGGAAAGTAATATATGAATTTTGAGATTATGAGGAAAAGATGTGTGTTTGTGTGTGTACTAATAAATTTCATTATCAGCTAACTCTGTTCCTCTTTGCTTAAAAGTAACATTTATTACAAGTACTAATAATACATTATATGTTCCCATTAAGAGATTCAAAATATGGCATCCAAGTTTCTTTAATCAAGTGGAATAACCCTTGAATTTGTTTATAACATAAAAGTCATATTAGGTATTCAGCCCACACTGATATAACAATAGTTGTGGAGCTAAACTTCCCCAAACCAAGAGCAAAAATAGATACAAGAATTTAGGTAGATGCAAGTAATTCATCATAAAAGTAACATACATATTCCCATAATTTTCCACTGAACCAAATTCTCTAGTGAAAGTTAACCTATATTACTGTCAGAATGGAAGGAATGATGAACCCAACACTGAACTCATTCAGCCAATTAATTTGTAATTCATTTAGAGGACATCTAACACTGATTCATCCTTTAAATTGAACTAAATAAAACCTGATTTGATTTGCTGGAAATGTGCTGGGATCTTAGCATTAGCAATGCTAAAGGCGACCTATTATGACAATGCCTATTAATTAGAAGCTTATGGGGGATGAGCAGTTATTTTTAAAGCTCCTAAAAGCATGTTTTAAATAAGAAAATAAATAAGGTAATAAAAATCAATCAGCATTAAAACTGCAAATATCCATTTAGAGGAGAAAGAAAATTGCACATTTAAAAGAGAAGGTGAATTCTCCCCTAAGGAAGCCTGTGAAGTCACTTTGGTCTTTCAGTCAGTCCCATTCTTCCCTAAAGCCTAAATCTCAGCCCCTAGTAAAGAAAACAGGTAATCATTGTGTCCATTTTGTGAAGATTAGCATTCAGCAAAGAGATAAACCTGAAGCTTGGCTCAAGAAACCAGATAATTGTGTTGACTTCACTTGGCTTCTTTGGTAACTGAATAGACAGAAATCTGGCTTTTCATCAGCTACAAGGACATTTCATTCTTCACTTTGCTATTAAAATTACACTAGGTGATTAAACTCTGAGGAGTACCAAGTTAACAAAGCCCAATGTGACAGTACTCACTCATAATCCCAGCACTCAGAAAGCTGAGTTGAGAAGACTGTGAGTTTGAGGCTAGTTTGGCTACATAAAACAAAACAAAACAACAACAACAAAACAATGAAATTAAACTATGCATTTGTATGTACATGAAACTCATTTGAAATGAAAACAGTTAAAGTTTTCTAACTAAACTAATACATCCCTCATCCTCCTCTCCGTTATCCTTGTGAATTCACTTCCTGCCCTATGCAAATTGCCAGTTTAAACACTAGTCCATTCTCTGGAGATATCAAACATGTGTTATGAAAGTTTATTTTGACTATATGATATCCTTAAATAGCAGTGCCCATGTCTTTTAAATGTTTTAATTTGTTCTCTATGATTGAGCTGCACTCAATTCCTTGAAATAAAACAGTAAAATAATCAAAAAGTCATAGAATGAAAAAGTAAAAGAATAAGCCACAGTCTCTCTTCGTAACTTGCAAACCCATAATTCTGACGCCAAAGACAACAATTAACAGTAATTTCTTCAGTAATATTTCAGGGTAAAAATGTACGTATATAGCTAGGTGTTAGTGGCTCATGTTTGTAATCCTAACTACTCAGGGGGCTGAGATTTGAGGATCACAATTCAAAGCCAACCTGGGCAGGAAAGTTCAAGAGACCCATATCTTCAATTAACTACCAAAAAGCCAGAAGTGAAGGTGTGGCTCAAATCTATGTATAGCAGCCATGTGTGAAAAAAAAAAACAAGTGAGTACATGAGGCCCTGAATTCAAGCACCAATGGAAGCACAGAAACAGTGGGACAAGCCAGGCGCTGGTGGCTCATGCCTGTAATCCTAGCTACTCAGGAGGCTGAGATCTGAGCATCACGATTCAAAGCCAGCCTGGGCAGGAAAGTCTGTGAGACTCCTATCTCCAATAAACCACTAGAAAACCGGAAGTGGCACTGTGGCTCAAGTGGTAGAGCACTCGCCTTGAGCTGAAGAGCATAGGGACAGCGCCCAAGTCCAGAGTTCAAGCCCCACGACCGACAAAAAAAAAAAAAGAAAAAGAAAAAGTGGAACAAAGGGTGAATCAATTCAGGAGTGAAACTCACCAGACACTTTACTGGAAATGAACTATACAACTTAGAGGGGGAGAGAAGGAGAAGTCAGGAGGGGAAAAACTAGGAGAGAATGAGGGAGAATGAGGGGTGACACGGTTCAAAAGGAAAAGTACTCATTACCTGACTCGTGTAACTGTAACCTCTTTGTACATCACCTTGACAATAATTTATTTATTTGTTTGTTATTTATTTTTTGAGTCTGATAGTGGGGCCTGAACTCTGGGCCTGGGTGCTGTCCCTCAGCTCTTCAGCTCAAAGCTAGCGCTCTACCACCAGAGCCACTTCCGGCTTTTTTCTTTTTGCTTATGTGGTGCTGAGGAATTGAACCCAGGGCCTTGTGCATACAAGGCAAGCACTCTACCACTGAGCCACCTTCCCAGCCCTTGAAAATAATTTTTTAAATGCATGTATACCTGAAAAAACTTCTTGTATTTCATATTAAAATTTTAAACTTTTTCACTTCATGGAATACTGTAATAATCTTTCTATATCAACATATATAGATATGCCTCAATGTTTTTGTGTGTATTAAGAATACTCAACATGATATTAAAGTTCTTAAAAATTTAAGGCCCAAACCTGTAGAGAGAATTCTCAAGAACATACTCATTTTACTTAACTGAAATTCTATACTTATTGAACATCAACTATTTATCTACCTCTGTCCCTGACTGCCACTTTTGCAAGATCTGCTTCTGTGAACTAGATATTTATTTTTGAGGCAGGATCTCACTGTAGCCCAGGCTAGTCTCAAAATACACAATGCACTTGCCACAATTTTTTGAGGACTAGTATTACTCGTGTGAGCCACTAACCTTGGTGTCCTATTTTAAGACTCTTATAGCCAGGTGCCGGTGGCTCTTATTATAGACAGGCACCGATGGCTCATGCCTGTTATCCTAACTACTTGGGAGGCTGAGATCTGAGAATCATGGTTTGAAGCCAGCCCAGGCAGTCTGAGAAACTCTTATCTCCAACAAATAACTCATAAAAGCCGGAACTGGCCGTGTACTGGGTGCTCACGCCTGTAATCCTAGCTAGTCAGGAGGCTGAGAGCAGGCAGGAAAGTCCATGAGAGTCTTATCTCCAGTAAACCACCAGAAAATCAGAAGTGGTACTGTGGCTCAAGTGGTAGGTCTGAGGGACAGTGCCCAGGTCCAGAGTTCAAGCCCCAGGACCGACAAAAATATGTCAGAAATGGCTTTGTGGCTCAAGAGGTAGAATGCTTGCCTGGAGCTCAGGCACAGCAGCCAGGCCCAAAGTTCAAGTCCTAGGACTGGCCAAAAAAAAAGAACTCTTGTAGTAAAATCATGTAATTTTTTGTCATTTTTGTCAGCTTACTTCACTTAGTCTAGGTTCTCTGTGTTTTCACACATGACAGAATTTCCTTCAATTTCAAAGTTGGTTAATATAGTTGAATG